TTTTTTTTATGTTGCCTGTTGCCTGTTGCCTGTTGCCTGTTGCCTGTTGCCTGTTGCCTGTTTGATGTTGCATGTGGCTCAACAGCTTAAATGCATCATATTCATATGTAAATAATGTCAGCACAGAAAAGATTCTTCCTGGAAATTACAAAGACAAAGTTTGGAAAAATTCCATATCGTTGTGACCTTTCGCTGATTGTATTCACATTGACGAAAGTGCATTTATTTTCTTGGTGTGAGCATTCAACATATGCAACATGGAATCAGACCTTCGCCAGCCTTTTTTTGGATTGGCTGCATACAATCCACAGTCTTTAAGATAGTACAATATCTCCCTTCAAAGTTTCCTGCGCCATATTGAAAGGAAGCAGTGCTCCACGAACGCTGAGTTTGCAATGATAGAGACGTGGATAATTGTTCAAAGTGTTAAAAAGGTCTCTATCATTGCAAGGTCACCACCGTCCTTGCTTCGATGCAAAAGCACGGCTACCTTTAAAGATGGCGCAGGGAACTGTAAAAGGGACTATAGCACGGGATCATTAAGTTAACGACCTTACCTATTCTGTACTTCCAGAATGTATCATCATAACAGGATATCTTCCAGGACCCTAAGTCGAACATTGCTTTATGATCTGCCAAATCTTTATTCGCTGTAAGTAACTCGTAACACTCGCTTTAAGTTTCACCAAGAAAGTATACTCTCTTGGATTCATTCACTGACGTTAACTTTTGGCATTTGACAACTCAGTCCGTTTTGCTTTGGAGTTTCTTCGACTTTATTCCCAGGCGTTCACTTATGCTGTTTGTTTTTTGACATTAATCAGTTTTGCGTCGTATAACAACCTTGAATACATCCAAGATTACTCTTTTTCGAAGAGTTCGTCTCTGAGTCACGTGTAAGTTCACATTTTACATGATGGCAAGCAGTTCACGGAGTAAGGCGTTAATATTTAAATAATCTGCGTATGGTCGAACGAAATTACAATTTCTTTTCGTTCGCTCTTTTTACACCAACGAAGGAATAACTTCAGTACGTCAGTACAGGTCTAACTTTTTTTACACCGAGGCGTTTAAGTTTCCTTTTTATTCACGAAAGAGCGATACTCCAGTTTCGAGTTCTCTTTTGCTCGACCTTAACTTCAGTTGTGCGCTTGATATTCAGCAATTCAACCAAAATACGCGGCACTTTAATAATTTTGTATTCTTCCGTAGTACATACAGTCCTTACTATACGATGGGACTTTATAAAAGAAAATAACACAATTGTACGCAATCGAGGCTAAGACTGAGCATAGGCGAAATCGAAATGGGAGTATTTGTGATCTAGTCTTTTCTAGTAAATTAATATGTTTAAAAACTTTGTAATAACTTTTTTAAACAAATTTTTAATCATGGAAAATTTTTTTGAAGTGTTTAAGTAGTAGCTTTACGGGCGCACTTGAATTGCGGCGTGAACAATCGACCTCACTTGATCAACTGAAATTGTCGTGTTAGAAGCACTGCTTTGCTTGATTTACTCACCTTATTGTGGTTGATAATAGGAGAAATGACATTCAAATAATTAAAGGTATATTATTTTATTATTATTTGCAAGTCTATTGAATAACAATCAACTGAAATATATTACGAATCGGACTTTTTATGGAGCATTTCAACTAAAAGCACTGTAAGTATATTGTCTTTCATGATGAATATAAATTGGCCTTTCACAACTAAGCGTAAAAAAATAGCTTTTTAAAGTGTTTGTTCTTCATCACTTTGCATGCTTTCCAGGCTTTCCACAAGGTTGATGTTCTTTGACGGAACTCAGTCTCGCCTTTGGAGCTACAATGATTCTATCACTGACGTTCTACTCTAACTCTTTTTATATTTTATTTGCGTAAATATACTTTTATTTTTTTCTTTTCTCTTTCCTCATTTCATCTCCTTGAATAGCTTTTATAGACTTTCAATACATGCAACTTGAATTCTGTTGTTTTCGATTTGTAATCTGATTGGTTGACAACCTCGAGTTTTCACGATTAGAGTAGAACGACAGTAAATTCCCACTGATGAATCTCGAGTATTTTTTATATTTCAATGTGCAGATTAAAGTGCCTATGACCCCTAACTCAATATTTTCAGCATTGATTCTACATGAAGTGAATAGTTGAATGGTGAAATATTTTTATAGGATTTGAGTGATGCATCTTGGAGATATCAAGGTTTATACTTCCAGTATGCTATTAGCGACATCTTTGTAATTGTTGTTCCTTTTTACTCTAATAGGTTCCTAATGGCAAATCCAATCGCATACATCGCCGATGGAGCTTTCTCTTCTAATACCAAAATGGAAACACTGTACGTTTTTTCATCACCTATAAATTCTGCTTTAACAGAATAAAATAAAACAGAAAGCCATTAAAAATAATTTAAGCAAGGAATCGAGAAATGTGAGTATCAATTTCTAGCGCAAACTGTGATCATTATTGCGATAATGCGACGATTTTATAGCGATGAATCCTTGTTGGACTAATGTTTATACTTGGATATGACAAATAGTCATATTATAAAATAGCTGTTATAAATCTCGCGTTCTGATTGGTTGGAAGCTTGTTCTGTTATGAGAGCACACAGCACACACGCACTTACAGTTGCGTCATTCACATCCAAATTCATGCGACGATTTATAAAGCACTTGGGGATTGGCAGAACAATCGAGAAGTGTCGAGAGGCACACTCCGCTACGCGCCATGCTTCTCCTAACACTTCTCTCGTGTTCTGCCAACCCCCGCGTTTTCTATTTCTTTTATAAAATGCAAAGGGCGCTTGTGTCTACATAATATCACCCTTCGGTATATTAATTAGCCTGCGTACTGCTTTATAACTGCACATAGCACGCGCGCGCGTTTTCTATTACTTCAATAATGCATTTAAAATGCGATACATATTTTTACAGTTACATATTGCAAACCAACATCAAAACTGTCAACGTGAARTGGTTTAACCTATGGTTTATTTACAAGAATCGGACAGTAGTACAAATGTAAGACGATTTTTCACCAAAGTTCACAAAGTTCACCAAACAAAACTGTTTTTATGCTTTTCCAAGTAATTCTTGGGGTGCATGTTACGCCATAGCCGCCATGTTAGTTGACGACAAAGCGTGAAACGTCATTAACTTCTCTTGTTAGATCAACCAAGATGGCGTCTGTTTTATCGTTATTGATATCTCGAGGGATTTTAATCGAGTCATGTGGTTGCACCTCAAGAATGCGACAGAAATGACATGCCTAAAGCACGAAGCAATACTAATGCCTTCCAAAGCCAAGCCATGCCACTTAGCGAAGCTTACGTGCTTGTAGATGAATAGATTACTGAACGGATATGATCATCACCACTATCATAGTTTCCCTCGTGGCATGAGATCGGCCGCTTTGGGGCGCGTTTGTAGTGGAATACGCCTTTCCAATAAACAAATAAAGAAAAAAAGGAAATGAATAGGTGTACGTGTGGGTGTGTGAAAACATGGAGTAAACCGGTTAAGTCAGCATGGGTGGTCTTCTAAGGCGTCATCCTCTCAAAAAATAAAAGCTTTGGAGCAAGGCGTCCGTGGTTCGAACCTCGCGTACGTAGCATAGTATGTGAGTTGATTTTTGGTATGAAATGTGAAATGTTACTACACTCACCCGGACGATCACATTTCACACCAAACTTCAACACCTGGGTTCAAACCATTTACTCCTGAGTTTTCTCTCCTATGCTACGAGGGCTTTTCGCTGAGTCCTCCGTTTTTGTTTTTTGTTTTGCTTTTTTTTGTTTTTTTGTTTTCTACCATCAATTCTAATTCCAACTCAGAAATAGAGGACCGTCGATGAATAATGTAAATTGGCCTGTATATGGTATATTATATTATGTATATTCATATTATCGTTCGTCTTTTTTTCATTCAAGATACACAACAAAAACTCCAGAGGCATTAACAGTAAGAGGTGATATAATATTTGGCTATAAAAGCGCAGGATTCAAATGCGTCTTTGAGGAAGAGGTTTGTGCGCCTTGTTTGTCTGGAAGCTACTTAACTTTGTCTTTAGACCAAAGTGGGTTCATCTGTACAGATTGTCCAGCAGGTAACGTAGATAAAAGAACAATAGGATTAGCCTCTTTACCGATACGGCGACCATCTTGATCTATTGTCTTAACTAAGATATTATGGGATGCCGAGGGGCGACTATTCACCATTTTCCATACATCGGTTCACTGGTCAAACACAAAGTGCTCAAGCGAGGTGCCAAGATGCTTTCAAAGGATTGTTCAAATTTGAACCTTATAACCTCGACTGAATGCTTTGTGTTTGACCAGTGAACCGATGTATGGAAAATGGTGAATACTCCAGTTTCGAGTTCTCTGTTACTCAGAGTTAGCCTCGATTTTGTGCAGAATATCAATGTCTTCTAGTAAAGGTCCGTGGAATTCAAATGTGTTTGCATTGTTGAAGTTGTGCATTGGTTACTTTACCGTAGCCAAATGAGTCTATAATCAAGAAACACAGCATTAATTTGGAACTCGAAAATGGTCTCAAATTTAGCATAATCAATGTCTTCATTGTCTTTGATTAGGTGGTTTTTACCAAGATACCATCGCTGTCTACGCTGATCAAGCATCGTACGGTAATGGATGCCAGATGTGCGACAACGGGACGTTTGTGGGGATAAGAACAGCACCAGGAAGAACAAAAGAAGACTGTAAACCATGCCCTGAGGGTACAACAAACTTTTTTTCCTCTTTATCTTTTATCTCTATTATGTTTTTATTCTCCTTATATAATGTCTAGTCTGCTTATAATTGAATTTACTGATCATGGTGCACGGACGAAACAGGTTTTTACTGACTCACGTTGCAGTATTGAATTCTAATATACAGTTTTGGCAAAAACGACGAAGACCTGGTATTCCCATCAGGTGTTGTCGTGGAAGGCAGGCTGAAATACTAATGATGCTTTACGCGGATAGCATTATTTACTCTGGGGATTCGTGTGTGTATGAAAAAACTATTTATGTAGTGTGATGTATCACAGGTAGTGGTACTCTAGTTTTCTCTCCACTGTACGTGTTTTTTTTTTAATAATTAAGACCTGGAAAGTTGCTTCCTGATTTGTTAAATGTGTTCTCGCTCTCGTCACTACGTTTGTCGTGTTTCATTATTACAGCTGATCGGTATCTACAGATTTTATAAATGGTTTGTTTGGGTCGGTCTTGAGGTAGCAATGCAAGCTTTATTGTATTCTGGGTTAGGGCTTTTGTTTTGCAGGGTATCGATTGTTTAGCTCCGGATTCATCATCCTAGGTTATTGTTTTATTGTCTTCATGCCTCAGGTGCCTCACATCAAGAAGAAAAAGTCATTTGTTTTGTTATTTTAGGAACAAACAATCGTATGTTTGCTGGATTCAGAGCCTGTCGATGCCAAGTCGGGTTTTATCGTATTGATCGCTTTGACAAGTGCTACCCTTGTCCTGACTCTGGCGTCACGTGTTTTAACGAGTCGATGACGCTGAAGGCTGGGTACTACTGGCAATGGAATTCCAAGTCAGAGAAAGATTACTACATCAACTTTACCAACAACCTACAAATCTTCGACGACAGCTATGATAGAGACCTAGTTCAGTTTAATGGATCTTTCCCCAAACATTACCAGTGTCCACGATCAGAGTCATGTCTTGGAGGACTGGACGGTGAATGTGCTGAGGGTTATACAGGTCCCTTGTGTGCTGTATGTGACAAGAAACATTACCAGCTCGTTGCAACCTGTTTCAAGTGTCCAGCTGTACACTGGCTTATTTTCCAGGTAATTCCATCTGTTTGTTTAAAGTCAAATGCTCAAGTAGACACAAATGAATAGACTAATTATATTTAGGAGCAAGCAAGATTACAGGGTGTGAAGAGGGTGGCGCTGGGAGATTTCTTTACATGTTTTCACGTCCTTTCTAGACTTCTAATGATAAAGACTGCTAAAAGATGGCACTTCGCGCGAACAAAAGTCCTTGCGCCRCAACCTTTATGCTGCTAAATTCCAATTAAATCTGTGAGTTAGCGGTGCCCTGATTAAGATCAACCCAGAGGTTGTTTCAGGGTTCGGTCTGCGAGTTAGGCATGCCCTTAATATGATCAGCGCAAAGGTTGTTTAAAGGTCCGATAAAATTTGGTTAAAAGTCTGTCTACAGTCCAATGAGTGGTCCTTATATATTTTCAGATTTGTGCCATTTTCTTACTGCTCATGACCATAATCTTCGTAGTCGTCAAAGGAAAGCAGCGCAAGGCAGGAGAGACACGCTCCCTTACCGACATCATCCTTGCTCGTCTCAAGATCATCGTGTCCTTCTATCAAATCTCTTCTGGTACACTCGACGCATTCTCGTACGTTCAGTGGCCAAGTGCCTTGACTAAGATGAGTGAGTACGCCAAATTCGTTCAGCTGAACATCCTGCAAATTGCACCTCTACATTGTTTCAATTCTCGTCTTAAGATGGATGCGTACGCAGATCTTGTTATCACTTGTTCCATGACTGCTGGTGTCATTCTTGTAGCTTTGGCCTATTACCACCTGAAGCGTGCTTATCTTAGCAAAAGGGTTGGAAAATCGTCCATTCAAACTGACCTAGACACTACTAAAGAGGCCTGCTACCGTAACGTTTTCCTTTTTATTTCCGTAACTTACCCACAGACATGTTCAAAGATATTCCAAATGCTCCCTGCATCTTGCCACAAAATCTGCCAAGACAGCAGCGAACAACAATGTTCCTCCTACTTAAAGGCTGACTACTCCATAACTTGCTTTACTGACAAATACAACCAGTATGTGATACTGGCTTATGCTGCATTGATCTACCCTTTTGCAGTTCCTTTACTAACGGTAATAGTTCTGTGGAAGTATTATTACAAAAGGACTTTGGTAAAAGCTGTAAATGACTCGCGAAATAAGAATGCAAAGAGCACGGAAGGGGAGGAACAATCCAAGTCAATAGTGATGAGACATGCGATGATAGCAAACAAATGGACTCAAAACGCAAGTACTTCAAACAAGGAACAGCATGCCATCAAATCACAAGGTGAACATCTCGAAGTCATTGAAGAACCAGACTCCAACGCTGACCACAGTGCGTCTACAAAAGAGGCACCCAACCCACAACACACCCAGTTGATGATATTTGAAGAAAATAACACAAAGGAGCAAGTATTAGGAGACGGAAACCAGAAAAGAGAAAGTTCTAGTGAAACTACACCACCAATCGTCGCAGGAATGAGTTTCATATTTGAAAACTACGCAGAAAGTTGTTGGTTCTGGGAAACTATTGAGATGACCAGAAAGCTGTTGCTGATGTCTTCTTTGGCTTTGATCGGCGCAGAAGGACGAAACTCTCTTGGAGTTGCTTCTATCCTTTCAGGTAAACTTACCAATATTTACTAGTGACCAGAACTATAAATCACCCAATTGTATTCGCTTGTTCTTTCATTTACAGGCTGCTATGCCATCCTTCACGCTCACTTTATGCCGATTCCTGACAAGTTCGAGCATGCTCTTCAGTTAACGTCACTTCTGGCAACATTTGCTAACACGTGTATTGGAATGATGCTCAAGATAGACCAAAGTGCCTTGCTGGATGCTGATGCTAAGATCATGGATTCCTTGATCATCACAGTACTCTTGGTGACTGCTAATGTCATGGTTACTGCTCTTGTTGTCGGTAAGTCATACCATACTCTAGTAAGACTAGACACTGACATAAATGATGGGTATCTCTTTGTTTATCTTATATTCACAGTAAAATATGCGATTGCCATTGGTCAAAGTATATATTATCTCATCAAGAATCCTCGTTGTTCTCTCTCTTGCTGCCTGTCATTCATGCTGACTATTGATGAGGTGCAAGGTGAAGCACGAAGTATAAACGATAACGACAACGCATGGAAAATGAATACTCAGCTAAGTCAAGGAAATGACTTTGAAGGTAATTAATGCTATGCATCTATTTCTATTTACCTAAAGGACTTCTTATGTGTTAACCATCCTGCCCGTTCTTCACCTGATGGTTTGTTACTGGATTTACCCGCACGTACCGAGCTCAAACATATGGCGCTCGTTCGTTTGTTGTGGGAGCATCTTTTCTCTGCAATAGTCCCTTCACAGTTCCCTGCGCCATCTTGACAGGTAGCCGTGCCTTTGCATCTAAGCGAGACGAACCGTGAGCTTGCAATGATAGGGAACTTTTCTTAACACCTTGGACAATGTCACATGTCTCTATCATTGCAAGTTCACCGTTAGCCTCACTTCAATGCAAAGGCACGGCTACCTTTCAATTTGGCGCAGGGAACTGTGAAGGGACTATTGCTTGCTCTTAACTTATGAGCAGATTTTTCTATGTGAAGCGCGCCCAGATTTTATGGAGTTGCGCTCTAAAAGATGATGATAATGATGATTATAATGGGGATTATGATGATGATGATGATAATGATTATGGCGATGATGATGATTATTATTATTATTATGACGGGGATTATGATGTTCAAGATGATGATGATAACGTCAATAATGATGATAATGATAATAATTATGATGATTATGGTGATTATGACGGAAATGATGATGATGATTATGATGATTAGACGAGGATTATGATTGTGATGATGATGATAATGATGCGGATGATTACGATGATTATGATGGAGATGATGATGATGATGATGACGGGGATGATGATGTTGATGATGGTGATGATGATAATGATGATAATGATGATGATGTTGATGATCATGATAATTTATTATTATTATTATTATTATTATTATTATTATTATTAGCGCCTGGCGTGAAAGATGTGGCAGGAGATCTAGGTTTAACCGCAGTTGAAATTGGTGACGAGGACAATGAAAATGAAAAAGACCACCAAAAACAAAAAGAGAAGAAACAAGACCATGAATAAAAACACCGATATTGAAAAACCACACGAAGTAGAGTAGAAATAGTACACCAAAAGTATAAAGAACCCTGCTCTTATCTCAAACACACAAAGTCGCATATTAGTTGTGATATAGGCTTTTTCAGGCAAACCGAGATAAAACATACAGTGTTTGTTAGTTATAATAACATCAAGTGACATAGTACATAAACATCACGATTTCCATATAAAACGTGCAGAAATAATACAAAATAGATCATTTTCTATGTTGAGTAGCCCAGTAATAAATTAGAAATCTTTTTGAAAAATATCACAAAAGCGATCAAAACCATGTCCTATGGTACATGCTTTTTAAGAGAAAACTGTCAAAATGACCTTTTTTGCATTTTTCATAATTAATGCCTATCTTTTCACAAGGTGTGAAAATGGCCCAAAATCGATCAAAACCATGTGCTATAGCCCATGCTTTTTACCTAAAAATGGCCACAAATGACCTATTTTGCATTCTTCATTAATAATGGATATCTTTTCAAAAGGTGTGAAAATGGCCCTAAATCGATCAAAACTATGGGCTATAGCCTATGCTTTTTCCCATAAATGACCTATTTTGCATTCTTCATAAGTAATTCATATCTTTTCAAAAGGTGTGAAAATGCCCCAAAATCGATCAAAAGCATAGGCTTTAGCCCATGCATTTTGCCCAAGGCTAACCTATTTTGCATTCTTCATAAATAATGGATATCTTTTCAAACGGTGTGCAAATGGCCCAAAATCGATCAAAACCATGGGTTAAAGCCTATGCTTTTCGCATAAAAATGGCTAAAAATGACCTATTTTGCATTCTTCATAAATATTGCATATCTTTTCATAGGTGTGAAAATGACCCAAAATCGATCAAAACCATGGGCTATAGCCCAAGCTTTT